ATGAAAATTAATAAAATATAGAAAAAAAAGAAAAAAAAAAGAATATGACCTGTAGTGACCCTTCAAACAACAGATCTGAATCCTGTCCTATTCTGTCCAATCCTCACACTTCCTGACATACTAGAACCCATTGAGGCAGTCACCATGTCAGTAGGCCTGATCGAGGGTCTTCCTTTCCTTCACTAAATCTCCACCTTTTTAAGCTCCATGTCCCTCTCCAAGGAATAGCTCCTCCTGGAATCATTTTCAAAGTATGTGAGGCAAAACCTCATAATTTTTGCCTCTAAAGAGCACTTTAAGCTACACCCTCTCCAAGACATATTTGTTTGTTCTTTTGGCTGGCCATGAAATGTTCAACACCCTCCTTCAACACTACAGCTCAAAGACATCAGTTCTTCACAGTTGTATAGCAAGTAATCAGAAAGACCATGGCCTGAATCAGATACACCTTAGTCCTCAGACTGACATCATTATTCCTCAGTACTTTTCCAAAGTAGAGATCCCAAACTGCAAACTTTCTCAGTACAATACGTCTCCTGATTTTCTGACAGTTGGTACCAAGGGTGTTAATTGTGAATGCAAGTAAGATAAAGTTTTGGATAGTTTCAATATTTTCTCCATCTATCATGATGTTGCGTATTGATCCAGTGGTAAGAATCTTTGTTTTCTTGATATTGAGATGCAGTCAATACCAAATGCTACATTCTTTGATCTTCTGAAACAATGCTTCAAGTCCTCCTCTCTTTCAGTAAGCAAAGTTGTGTCATATGCATAGCACAGGTTATTGAGGAGTTTGCCTCTAATTCTGATAAAATATTACTCTTTATAGAGTCCAGCTTCTTGAATAATTTGCTCAGCACACAGATTTAATAGGACAAGAGAGAAAATACAACCCTGAGGCACTCTCCTCTTAATTATAAACCATGTAGTTTTCCCCTGGTCTGTTTGCACAACAGCTTCCTGGTCTAGGTATAGGTTTCACATGAGCACAATTAAGAGCTCTGAGATTCCCATTCTTCTCAGTGTTAACCTAACTTGTTATGATCCACTTAGTCAAATGCCTTTGCTTAGTCAATAAATAATAGACATTCATCTGGTATTCTTTACTTACAGCAAAGAGCCATCTGACATCAGCAATGATATCCCTGATGCCATGGTCTCTTCTAATTCCTGCTTAAACTCCTCATAGTTCCTCTCTAAGAACTCTTCTAGCCATTTTTGAATAATTATTTTTAAATTATAAAATAGAACACAGAATTATCTAAAAATCTATCTAAATCTATCAGAATTCTCTAAAAATAAAAATTATGATAGGATAAATAGGATAATGTAACTTTGAACCAAATTCTCAGACATGAGAAATAGAAAATGGCATTAAGAGGTGGCAGAACTGCCACCTTTGAGTGATGAGCTGGAAAAGGAAAAAAACTCCATCCAGTAGTTTCACAGCTCCAATAAATCCTGGATTATAGTCAAGTCAAAATAATTATTCTTAATACAATTCATTTTACCAGGAGTCTTCAAATGAAGAAGAAGAAGAGAATGAAGATGAAGAATCTGAAGCTAATTCTACTGTTTCTACCACAACTTTTGGCTATGGAGAAGAGCCCACACCTGGAACAGGGGGCATAGGGTTAGCCGCAATCCAACTGCCCAAGAAGGTAATGACTCTCCAGTGAAATCCATTTCATGTCTTGATAGAAGTGTTGATTACCTCAACACTATATGCATAGTATTTCATATTTTCACTAAATTATTGAAAAATGGAAAGATAGATAAACTTTCCCTGTTTACAATTGTTGTTATTATTGAGTACCGTAGAGTCAGCACTGACCCATATTTGATCCTTTAGTGGTTTTTTAAGAGGCAGTTAATCACACAGAAGGAGATTGCATGTTCCACAGAGACAGCTTATCAGACACATCCACCTCTTTTCATTAATACCGGAAGAAAATGAGATTTCATTTTAAAAACCCCGTTGATTCTGTTGTAAGTCAATTTTTCTTTAAATTCAGAATTTCCTCTAGAATAGAAAGTAATAGGAACACATATCATTGGATTTAGTGATTGTCTTATGTTTGTATTTTTTCACACTGAGATAATTTGAAAATTTTCCTTACAGGCTGGAGATGCAGGAAGCAAAGCTACAAAACAGGAAGAAAGTGATGAGGAGGAAGAAGAAGAAGAGGAGGAAGAAAATGAAGAAAACGAAGCCGAAGTGGATGGAAATGAGCAAGGCATAAATGGCACCAGCACCAACAGCACAGATGTTGAAAATGGCAATGGTAGCAGCGATGGAGACAACGGGGAAGAGGAAGGAGGAGAAGAAAACGTCACTAAAGCCAGTGTAGAAGGAACCACAGCGCCTGCAGAACAGGAGACAACGCCCTATGCAAATGGGAGGTTTGAACTCACAACCACTTCATTTGGAGAGAGTACCACCACTGGATATGAAGATGAGTATGAACAAACAGGCACCAATGAATACAACAATGGCTATGAGACCTATGACAATGAAAATACAGAACCTCGTGGGGACACTTACCGAGCATATGAGGACGAGTACAGCTACTTTAAAGGGCAGAGCTATGATGGCTATGATAGTCATAATTACTACTACAACCAGTGAAGGCCCATCCAGGAATGAATTCATCCATTGCAGTATCATGTGTAGCTTCTCATTTTCAAATTTCAACTCAGGAAAGTGCAATACAACAAATGTGCATATAATAGTGAGGAATGGTGCTACTATTCCAAAGTATTTTTTTCTGTAATTGCTTCTGCAGATAGTTGGCTTCTTGTTGATTTCTTCAGGTATGTTATTGAAAGATCATTGTAATAGAGGGAAGCTTATCAAGCAGTAAACAATGCATAAGATAGAGTTCCCTTCAATATTTTGAGGTCATAGTTCATTAAATGTTATTATTAATATGTTTGTACTATTGTTAACTATTAAAACATACTCTCTGTTTAAGAAGTGCTTCTAATAGGAAATTCATTCACATTAATGACACTGTATACAATATGTATGGAATTCTGTAATCACACTACCTAACAATCTATATTAAGTTTCATTATAATTCTTGTGTATTTAATGCAACTGGTATGTATGTCCTGTTAATTGATTATATTTCAAATAAAAAAATGCAATTCTTCAGATGCTTTATAATGAGAAAGAAAATGAGAAATTCAAAATGGAAAAGGAGAAAGCATTAAAACACTAGGAGGAAAAAGGATCGAAAGTTCAGTCTCATGGTTTGTACGCAAAGGAACAAAGAATATTTTTAAAAATAAATTAATACAACTAAAATTGTGCCATGCTTGTGACCGGTATTAGCTATATACATTAGGAGAGTGATGACTGCTGTTAGGGCCTCCTTGGATGGCAAATAAAAACACAGAATGCCTACTTAAGATTTGGCAGCATTTTGAGAGTCGGTGAAGACATTGAGATTGTTGACAGCTTTAGCACTTGCTTGGCTCCACAATCAGCACTCTTGGTACCAGAAGCCAGGAAAGTAACAGACGAACTGCACTAGGAAAGTCAGCTGTCAAGGACCTCTCCAAAGTACTGAAGAGCAACAACAACAGTTTGGAGACTAAGGTGCACCTGATCTAGGTCATGTTGTTGTTACTGTTGATTGCCTTGGAGTAGAACATGACTCATAGCAACCCTATGAACAAAAAGCCTGACGCCCCTCTACAACCACTGACATTTATCAAAGTTCATAGAGTTTTGGAGGCATGTTGTTTAGGAAGTGGATGCCACTCCTGCTTCCAAAACTGTCCTAGAATGTTATTGGTTGAGTTGCCTATGATGCATAGCATCCCTGTGTACAGCAGCCTTCTGTGTCCTGAGCCAATAATCTAACTAATTCTGACACACCACCCCCATCGCCCCTGTTATTGTATCAATCCATCTCATCTGGGGTCTCCTTCTATGCTGTAAGTCCACCCTTCTGAGCATGATGTCCTTCTCCAAGGACCGATCTCTCCTGGCCACGTGCCCAAAATAAGTGAGTTGGAGCTTCAAAATCCTAGCCTCCAAGGAGAGACTTGGTTTCACCCTCTCCAAGACAGACTGATTTGTTTTCATGGCAGTCGACGGTATGTTCAAGACTCTTCCAGCACCACAACTCTAAGGCATCTATTCTTCTGTCATCCTTAGTTATTGTCAAACTCTATGAACCATAACAAGTAATTGAGAAGACCATGGCCTGGTTAAAGAGCACCTTTGTATCTAGAGTGACATTGTAGCTCTTTAGCACTCTGGAGAGGTCCATGACAGCAGATTTTCCCAACGCAATTTGCCTTTTGATTTCCTGACTTCTGGTGTTAAGTGTGTTGATTGTGGATCTGAGCAAACTGTGATTCCTAACAACCTCAATCTCTTCTCCATCTAATATGGTGCTGCCAATTGGCCCTGTAGTTAGAAACTTTGTCTTCTTGATGCTGAGCTTCAATCCATATTGAAGACTACAGTCCTTGACCTTTTACAGCAAGTGCTTCAGGTCTTCTTTAGTTTCAGCAAACAAGGTTGCATCATCTGCATATCATAATGAATCTACCTCCAATCCTGAGGCCACACTCCTCCTTATAAAGCCCTGCCTCCCAAATGATCTTTTCTGCATACAGACTGAAAAGTTATAGGGACAGAATGCATCCTTGACACACTCCTTTCCTGATTTTGAACCATGCAGTGCTTCCTTGCTCTGTTCTGTGGACTGCTTCTTGGTTCAAGTATACGTTTCATATAAGGATGATCTAGTGTTCTGAGATTCTCATTTTCCTCAAGGTTAGCCACAATTTATTGTGATCCACGCAGTCAAATGCCTTTGCATAGTCAATGAAACACAGATAGACATTCTTCTCATGCTCTCTGTTCTCTGCCAAGATCCATCTAACATTGGCCATAGTCTTCACAATTGCTTGCTATAAATCAGAAGGCTGGACAATGACTAAGAATGACAGAAAGAGAATTGATGCCTTTGAGCTGTGATGCTGGAGAAGAGTATTGAATATACCATGGACTGCCAGGAAAACAAATTGGTTCATCCCAGAGAGGGTGAAACCAGGCTCCTCTTTGGAGGCAAGGATTCTGAAACTTCATCTGACATACTTTGTACATGTTGCAAGGAAAGATTGGTCCTTGGAGAGGGACATAATGCTTGGAAGGGTGGAGGGAAAGAGAAAGAGAGGAAGACCTTCAATGAGATGGATTGATTCAGTGACTAGGGTAATGAGGGTAGGTGTGTTAGAGACAGTAAAGTTGGCACAGGATAGAGCAGATTACAGGGCTGTTGTACATATATGAGTCATAAATGACACATCGGCACATAACAGCAACTTAAAGTTTAATTTTAGATAAGCAGTGAGTAAATTTTTTGTGTTTTTTATGTTGCATGAAATATTTGGCAACTGTAGAGTGCTTGAAATAAGCTGATACTAAAAAAAGTACCTGTTTATATTATCATCAAATTTCACAGTCATATGTTTTGAGAATCCCATTCTTAATTGTGTTGATTGTGACAGAAAAAACTCTTAGACATATACATACATACTTACAATATGGATACATACATGCCCTAATGAGAGATGATAAACAAAACTTCCACACCAATTTACGTCTACAATATTAGTCTGAAAGCAAGTTTAAAGATAAAAACAGTGACGGAAAACAGTTGTGGGAAAAAGTAAGATGTTTACCTTTTCATTTGATTAATTTCTAGAATGTATGGACCATCTAGTATGATCCAATCAGTATTCCCACATTGAAGATATAAAATTGTTATGTCATTGTCTCCTAATGTTTTATTTTCAAAATGTTGTCTTCAGAAAAAATGTAAAAACTAGTAATAAGCATCTTCGATCACCAATGGTTAACATTGTGAGATATATATATACAAATGTGTGTGTGTGTGTGTGTGTGTGTGTGTGTGTGTGTGTGTGTGTGTGTGGATGGGGGAAAAGAAGAGAGAAGGGGAGGGAGAAGGAGAGTGAGAGAAAGAGAGAGAGAGAGAACACAATCTCTGGTGGTCTAGTGGCAAGAAGGTGCACTGCAATCCCAAAGACTCAAGGTTTGAGGCCACCAGATGCTCTGTGGGAGAAGGATGAGCAGTCTCATCCTGTACCATTTACTGCCTCTAAAAACCCACCGGAGGGTCAGCTATAGGTTGAATCCAACTCTACAGTGCACAACACACACACACACACACACTTTTAATGGATTTTACTAATTTTAGTGAACATTTACAGAGATTTTGGATTTCCGTTCATTCATTGTTGCACTTTTCTCCCTGCTCCCCCCAGTTTACTCTTCTCTTTGAAAAATAAAAGAAAAATTCCTTCATTGGTATACAAACCCCCTGCCCCAGTACACTACACTGTGCAACCTTCATTCCAAACTCTCATGATAAGCATAATACCCTGTAATATATCACTTTTAAACTGTTCTCTCCCTCATCCGTTTCAATGCAGTATAAATAAGTTTTTCAGTTTTTCTCAGACTTACCCCAACCCTGATGTCTGTCCCATTCTACAACAGTGCCACTATGCAGACAAACACATATTTTGATATAATTATACATTTGTCTGTATATATAAACAAAGGAACTTCTGGTCGCTTAATGGATAAGGAGTTGCATTGCCAATAAAGAGGTGTTGTTGTTGTTGTTATGTGCCATCGAGTCGCCTGAGACTCATAGCGACCCTATGTACAACAGCCCTAAACTCCGCTCTGTCCTGTGCCAATCACACTGTCTCTGACACAACCATCCCAATTATCCCAGTCACTGAATCAATCCACCTCATAAAGGGCCTTCCTCTCCTGCACCGTCCCTCCACCCTCCCAAGCATGATGTCCCTCTAGGCAGTTCAAATTCACCAGGTGCTCCATGGGAGAGAAATGAGTAATGGCCTCTCATACAATTTATAGCCTATGAAAATCCATTAAGGAGTCAGCTATGAGTCATGTCCTACTCAGCAACAATGAATGGGCTTATATTTTATATAATAATTATCATGGTGTCTTTTTCTGAGTGTGTCTGTTTCTGTGCCTGTGTGTCTTTGGTCTGTGTCTGTGGTGTGTCTTTTTCTGAGTGTGTCTGTTTCTGTGCCTGTGTGTCTTTGGTCTGTGTCTGTGGTGTGTCTTTTTCTGAGTGTGTTTCTTTGTATATCTATACTTTACTGCCAAAGTATTTAAAAGTTCATTGCTGCACTTCTCTCTCAGCTCATCCCCCCCCGCCCCAGTTCACTCCTCTCTTTCAAGAGTAAGGGAAACACTCCTTCCCTGGTACACAACCCCCCCACACCCCTCCCACCACCCCAAGTACTTTCCACTATGCAACCTTAATTGTGAACTCCTGTGATAACCATAAGACCCTATCATACATCGCTTTTTAAATTATTCACTCCCTCATCTCTTTTAGTGCAGTATGCACAATTTATCCAGTTTTTCTCACTTCCTTTCTAATAATCCAGTATATCAAGCCCAAGTCTCTACATACCCATGATGTGCAAAGCCCCAAATCTATCAATTACTGGCCTATACTTCTGTTTTTCAATAAACAGAAATTTTTCTAGTTCTTAAAAAAAAAAAGTCATTTTCAGATACCATGATGCCATAAATGC